CTTGTCGTCCACCATGACACCCAGGTCTTTCTCCGCAGAGCTGCTCTCCAGAAGGTCGGTCCCCAGCCTGTACTGGTGTCTGGGGTTATTCCTCCCCAGGTGCAGGACCTTGCACTTGGCCTTGTTGAATTGCATGAGGTTTTTCACCACCCAGTTGCCCAGTCTGTCCAGGTCCCTCTGGATGGCAGCGCAGCCCTCTGGGGTATCAGCTACTCCTCCCAGTTTGGTATCATCAGCAAACTTGAGGGAGCACTCTGTGCCTTCAACCAGGTCACTGATGAATAAATTGACCAGGACTGGACCAAGGACTGACCCCTGGGGGACACTGCTAGCTACAGGCCTCCAACCACTCTGAAGATAGCTCTTCATGAGAGACCTGACTTAGGTGATGCATGCAAGTAGATTGTAGTTAAATGAGTTTAAAAAAGAAAAAATAAAAAGATCTGACTCTTAAATAACCGTTATTTAAGATACATTAGTAAATAAATGCATAAAGCTGTATTTATTAGTTACCCACAGAAGATACTCATCATCCTCAAAGTTCTAGCTCTGAGCACTGCTGAAGTGTTTACCGCTCCATATTCAACCAGGATGGAGTCAAGATGCAAAGTTTAACTATAAACTTGCATCAAAAACACATTTTGGTTGATTAAATTTTCTTCAGTAGGAAGGTTCTTTGTAAACAGCTAGAGCAACAGAGAGATTTTTCATGCATCAGAAGTCTTTTCCAGGTTTCAGCCAAGCTTCTGTGCCATGCAGCATAAAAGGGCACACAGGTTCTCATGGGCACAGACATTTTTCTACTCTTCTGCTGAGCAATAATGCTGTATAAGAACAACATAAAAAAACCTATAATAAAGATTACTTGCATCCAGAAGCACATGGAGTTGATGGCCATAACAACACTCATTGCAACAATTTAATATGCATTCTGAAGATACTCTTTCACATTTGAACTCATGTTAGGACATGGCTCCCTAAATTCTTGAGAAAGAAGAAAAATAAATATCTACTACGCCCAAGAATATTTCTCACACATAGCATGCTCTGTTTTTCCTAGAATTTAATTTGTTGGAAATTCCCTAGCACTTCAGGAAGGCTACTGTTTAGATGTTTGATGGCAAAGACCCAAGATGGTCATTTCATAAACCAAGTAAATCCAATTTCAACTCAACCTAGCACTGGTCACAAGTATCCCATTTCTCCACAGGGTGAAAATAAATGTTATCTGACAATGCAGCAAATCTGAATCTGTTCTGCAACAAGCAGACACTGACACCTGGTGACCAGTGATACACACTGCAAACAGAAAAATAACTGAAGCGAATTTCCTCTCTAAAATGCAAGAAGTCAAAATGTGTAAGTAATGTTACACAAAAAGATGATGCACATCTTCCTTAAATGCAAGCAAAATCCCTCAAGTTTGACCCACACCAGAGAAGAACCAAAGACCAAAGGTTAGTTTCTGGCTTTTCCAGCAGATCACTGTATATTGCTTTATCTCAAATAAAAGAATGAAGAAGGCATTTAGTGGATTTTCCCCCTGGTTTTCCTGCATTCTGACCTCGCCTTGAATACATATACATTCTCAAACTCAAAAGAAACAAATGAAAAAGTAGTCACATGCAAAATTTAACTTCATTATAACACTTTATAATAATTTTCTTCCAACATAAAAACACAAAACTTTTGGCATGGACAAAAAAAAAAAATTTCTTTTACCTTGAAATACTCTTTTCTAATTTGTTTACTTCTCCTCCTTTCTTCACTCTGCCAAATCACTGGCTGTGTCTCTGGCCAATCCACTGGATCTTTCTGGTTTTCCAAGGGCTGCAAGTTTCAGAAGCATTTTTATACAACACGTAAGTATACAATTCTCCATAGCACAAATTATTATGAACTACAACTATAAACTGTTTGGCTCTCCCACCATCTAGCTTTATGACACAAAAATATTCCTAGTCTCAATGATGGTTCAGGTGGAAATCACTTCCTCCCTCTCAAATTCTAAAAAATAAATAAATAAATAAATAAATAAATAAATCCTATAGGAAAAGGCATCAATGAAATAATTAAAACAAACCTTTTTCTCTCGAGCTAATGCACTGAACCTAATTTTCACAGGTTTTTTAGAAAATCAGTTAAAATTACCATAAAGAATTGCTTGTAAAGCCAGTTAGAAGTGTGTTTAGCCATTAATGCATTTAATTTCTGAATCTTTATATCAACTGCAATGGAAAAAGATGGCCATTACAAAACTACATTTTAAAGTATTTGTCTGCTGTTCTTATCCAAAAGGTAATACACAGCAAGTGGGAGTATAAAAACTCTTTAGAACAAGTTGGATAATACTGTGCTTTGAAGGAGACAGCTAAAGGAGATTTATTCATAAAAAACAATGAATGTCTACGTATACTCTATGAAAAACAAAAGTACCCAGACCAGAGGAAATATTTCATAATAAACTAGACATGCAAAAATTGCATTTCCAAAGATTTCTTCATTTTTGAATATGAGGTCATATAAAGCAATCATAAACAACTAATGAATTAAAAAGCAAAACACTAAATAAAAAAGAGCTTAATTGCACCTGCATTACAAACATAGTACAAGTCAAATTGTCTTGGAACAGTAAGGGAAAGTTCTTCATAGGAAATAATGGAACTTTTACTATGCTTTGTTACTGCTTGATAGGGTTTTAGACACTTACCTGCCAGCTGTATGGAGACAATGGAGAATTCCCTTCATCTGCTGAGATACTAAAAATTAAAATGACAGACATTATTAAATTTCCTTACTACATTTCCATGTACTGTAACATGAAGTTACTTTAAAAGTCAAAATAAAGTGAAGACAAAATTAAAACGCAGCTTCTCTGCAACACTATAATACTCTGGCTTGCTGCATAATGATATTATAGACTGTGGCTAGAAGGATGACAATTTGATTAAAATCTCAAATAGCATTTTACTCTCTTTTATAGCATGCTGACAACACCTCTTAAATAACACACTACTTTGTTAAGCAAAGGCTTATCTGAATAGTTTTGAGTGATCTTAAGCAACCACTAAGGGACAAATATTTTAGGATACAGCATTGAAACTGCAAAGCCTCAAACATATACTGAGGGAACAAGGATAATGCCTGAACTTGGTGTCACTTTGTTTCTTCTGTCATGACCGTTTTGTGAAGCTCACTTCTGTTCTCCTTACCTGTAACCATGTCATCTGCATCCTGAACACTGGGCAGAAAACAGGCTTAGCAGCTATTGGGTACATGAAGAGGTGACCAGCTGGGGACTGAATGTAAGAAGCTCCTAACACCTTGGTGAATTCTAGTAAATTCTTAACAGAGAGCAAACTAGCACATGATGTGAGGCTAAGTTTACACCTGTTATCTCATATTCATTTTCTTTCCCTTTCTTTTCCATGTAAACCAATGATCACACTTTTTAAAGCTCTTTGGCATAGGAAATGTATCCAAGTGATGCCCATTACCTTAATACACAATTTAGTTGAGAATTCCAGGAATTGCTGGAACAAATAATTCGAGCCTGCTGTTGAAACATGGTTGTATGTATTAACTAGGACATGTTTTTAGAAGATGAAGTTCTTCACAGCTTCTGTTCTGTTTGTATGTACCTTCCCCGGTGTCTAGGGCTTCTATATATCAGTGCAATGAAATAACAAGTAGTCTGTGACAACCACCTCGCACACACACCTCAATGATAATGCAGTTTTGTTGGTGGTGGTATTTTTAGGATTAAAAAAGTCCAACCCCAGATCTCAGAGTCTTTTTTTTTCCCCACATAAAAGGAGTAAATCAAACGTAACTCTCCTTGAACTCCCCTGTAATACAGGGCTTGCCATAGCTGTGCTCTGCGACAGAGAACAGAAACTGCAGGGTAAGAAACCAAGGACAGGAGAGCTCCAGGTGCAGATGAGCACCAGCTGCCGCACGGTTCGTGTCACTCCAGGACAGGGACACAACCACCTCTGCAAAGTCTCAGGTACCAGTGAGGGAGAAGGCAGCCAAGCCAGGATGCACCACTGAAATATCAAAGCTGAGTCCCCTTCATCTGCGCTTGGACTACACAGAGCTGTAGTTACCACCCATGTGCTCTCTAGCAACAACAGCTCTAATTAGGGGTTCTTGTCTCCTAGACTAAAAGCCAAACTGGGGTTTGAACACAGGTAGATGGAACAGATTTCACAGGCTGCCACCAAAACCCTCTCCTACTCAGGACAACAGCTCTCTCTAGCTGGCTGTCAATCCTCCCCTCCTTTAGCTAAAGGATTAAATAACAATTTCCTGACCAAACTGATCTCCAAAACTGGCTTAGGATTCCTCAGGGAAGTGGAAGCCAAAGACTTGCAAGTTTTTTATCCGGGCAGTAAAAGAAAGCTACAGTTTTGCAGTTTCCTCGAGACAAGGCTCTGACCCTTCTCGTTTTACAGACACAGCACAGAATAAGTGCACAATTCCTGCAGACAATAGCATTATGAAGCACAATTCTGTTGCACCAACTCGCAAATTCCACACAGACACATTCCCCCACAAAAACTGAAGGCTTTCCAGGTTGAACTCCTGACACGTTTTTCAGATGTGTCCCAAGAACACAAATATCTGCCAGGGAAATTCCAGATGTCTAAACACAGATCCACTGACATTTTGTATCCGAACACATTATGTAGGGGACAAAAGCTTCTGGTTCCAGTCCAGAAAAGACCTTGGGATATCTAAAATGCCACCAAATGCCTGTATTTAAGCAGGTGAACTGTTTCCTGAGTCAGACCTGCAAGAATTTCTGTATGCCACCAACTTGAAGGGCTCAGAAAACCACCTCTGGCTTTTCTCCTGAAAGCAGCTAAAACTTCAATTTCATCTTCAGCTAAAACAACAGGACAAAAGACAGCAGGGCTGATATGAAATAAGCATTAAACAATAAAAAAAAAGAAAGCTGTGATATAGCAAATTGTATTAATACCATTTTTCAGATTCCACTGGCTGCTTTGGTCTGTTCCTTGTGCTTACTGAAGCTGAGTGATTAAGAAGCCTGGAATGAAAAAAGAAAAAAACAACATATTTATACAAGAGCTTTGTAATTAAACCTCTTTATTGAGCATATAATACTTTCAGAGTGCCACTTTTCCTATAAAGAAAAGTTTTAAACATGAAAGTAGCATTTTTCATAAAATTATAATGCATATATGAAACCCAAGCCCAATCCTGCTTCCATTGAAGTCAAGATGTAGTTTCCAGCTCTTGTAACATGTCAGATTTTGCTTTTTAAGCAAGGAAAACCTGATCATAACCCAAACAAAATGCAGGCTCCTCTTACTTTTCCTTGACACATATTCACCACCTTTGGTGTTCTCCCACCTGTGTGAAATTACGTTGCCCTCAACACAAAAGGCCCCAGATGTCTCTAGAGGAAAAGATGATGGAACTGAAGTGGACAGGAGAGGATACAGAGACTGAGCACAAGTTAGTCAGACTGCAGGAGCAGGGAAGAGGATACCCAAGTAGGACCAAAGTGCAAAGGAAAGGCAGGAAAAAGAGTGAGGAAAGCAAGATGTGTGGAATGGGATTTTGGGCACAGAACAGCAAGAGAAAATACTAAGACAGAAAGAAGCAAACAAGGCAGGAGCAAACCATCAGAAACTCCATTTTCCTAAAATGTCATCAAGTAAAAAAAAAAAGAAAAAAAAAGTCTAAACTTGAATATAATTTTGGAAATTCTCATGTGCAACAAGCTCCTACCATGTACATGTACAGACAGGAAGACCTACACTATTTATTATGACTGTTTAAAATGAAAGAAAACCAAAAAACCCCACCACCCCCTAGAAGGTCAGAGATCAAACCAATTCGAAACACTTTTTCTTTTACATTAAACATCTACAAGCAGGTTGCACATTGAATAGCAACTAGAACCATTAATTTTGAATTCTAATGTTAAATTATACAGACAACTAAAACGATTTGATTAAAGATCATGAAAAAATGGAAGGCCAGCAACTATTAGTGGGCGAAAGTAAAATAGACGTTTTCATTTTATATTTCATTATCATTACAGAGGGCAGGACAACAGTTAATTTTAAAGGATCAGTGATGCTCAGTCAGACATCTGTGTTAGTATGACAGCTTTAAGCTGAGCAATCTTATTTCCAGCTTAGATCTCTGATTGTACAAACCTCAATTTAATGGGATTACGACAAGTTAAACCTGTAAAACAAGATCATTTATGGTCTGTAGTATCTGCTCCTTATAATTTATTTTCAGAAAGTTAATTCTGAGGGTGCTTTCAGGTATTATATTATATACAGGAGAAAAAAAAATTACAAAAAATATTGAGCGCGTACGATGTATCAAACATCATAAAATAAAGTGATTTTGAATCACTGATATTCTTGATATTTTGAATCATTGATATCTCTGCAACTGAAGCCAAGGAGATACTCAGAGAGACCCAGTGGCAAGTTACAACCGCTGGAATAGAAAGAGCTTAATAAATGAGAACTGGATTCACCCCAAGCCATCACCAAAACCAACTAGTAGTGTTAATTTGATGACCATATGTCATTAAAGCCACTGTTTTTCCTAATACTTTTCCAATTATGTTCAAACATATTTTATTATTTTGCCAAAAAAAACCCTTCCAGTTTCAAAACTAAGGGTATTGAAAATGTTCTGTACTGAAAATGTACTGAAAAATTCAGTATGTCAGGTTAGTCCAGGCAGAATTATGAATTTCCTATGGAAAAAGGAACTTTAATTATCACTTCAAAAAAATGCAAACACATAAATTAGCATGAAATTACAAATTTCCGCAGACTAAGGAATTCAATGCAAAATAATTGGCTTAGCTGGAGAAGAAAAAAAAAATCTAGCTGTATTATAAATGTAATTTTAGAGAAAATAAAATACCAAACAATGTACAAAACAGAGGTACACACGGCTCATTCTAGGCTCTTAAGCATAGTCCTAATGGTGCAAAGATTCCACCAACCATTTCTGTCCCTGTAATTTCAAATCCCAAATTTTCTGTTTTGTTGGACCAATCCTCAGCCAAATGATTCTTCTTTATGGTGATACTTAAACAAACGCATAACCATAACACATTAGTGTAAGGAATTGCATACTTATGGTTCACAACAATCACTGAAATTCTGGCCTTATATAATTATTGTATTATTTTGAAAAGGTTATGAAACTCATACAAACTTGAAACAAATAACTCAGCAACACACAGTGATACACATTTGTGTAGACTAAATAAAAATCCACACTGTGACTCACTTATCTGATTCTCATAATCATCCACACATAACAACTGCTCCAAATTGCTGACTAGATGGGAAGTAAAGGTGATGGCAAGACAAACGATGTTATCGGGAAATATTTTCCAAAGTGTGAGAATTAAATAAGTGGAATCTCTTCTAAACCATCTCTTTTGTTTGCATTTCCTAAGCAAACATAATATCACGCTTAAGAGACACAAATGAGATGAACGATGCTAACTGCTTTAAGGACAGCTGCCTCCAAGTTTAAACAGTTAAGAACTATCTGGGATGTGGGCAAGGACACAATATCTTTTACAGGATCCTTCCCAGGAGGCTCATTGCTTTGTGACAGTTGATGAACTCTCATGGATTCAGGAAGCTTTAGGAAGTTGCTGCTGTCTGCCAAATATCCGTACTGCGTGTGTGTGCAAAGTGAAGCCTCCCTACGGAAGGATATTGGAGCTGAGCTTCTGTGCTTTCTGTTCAAACAGATCAGGAGCATTGATGGTAGGGTTTGAGCTTCATGTGACATGGTGACAAACTTTGAAATCACTTGATTCATCACATACGTGTCTGATCATAACCTATCCTGCCCCACTCTGGATGTTGTGTCTCCTGGGAGGTTTTTGTATCTGCTGTTTGCTCCCTCGTGGCTGCCAAATACAAAACAAGTTACTGCCAGTTATGCTAATTTTGAAGTTACTACTAAAATCAAAAGCTCTAAAAAGCCTTTTGCCTGAGGTTCTGCACTTGAGGTGCTGCACTTCCATATTCAAAGTCAATCCCTGGAGATAAAACCTGTCAAAAGGTGACGAAAATTGAGCTTCTAGTTTGAACTGCTTTGGACAGTCTGCCCAATAAAATGAAACATTTTTCTTGCATTCCATCTTAACAATAAAAGCATTTTCATCTATTTTTTATTATTTTTTTTTTTAAAAAAAAACCTTAGGCTAACTTAGCCAGTTCCTTTGGACTGTTTTTGTCCAAGAAATGAACCAAGTTGGTTCTTTTGTCCATATCTTAACTTTGGAAATCTGAAGATCTACAAGCACTATATACCTTGATGCACGTCCTGCCGCCCTTGTCCTCTGGAAGAGTTTTTCACTGAATGAAGTCCTATAGCTTAATGGCCTTCGTCTGTATTCACATTTCATGTACATCAAAGCCAAAGACGGAAGAAGGAAGCAGGACAGGTTGATGGGAGAGGACAAGGAAGTCAATAGCATAGCAAGCAAAAAGAAAAGAGAAAGACTGCATAATATTAAAAAGAAAACACACTGAACGAACAGAAATATGGTTAGTAAGAAATTACTTTGTGATGCACACTATTCTGAGAATTCCATTTATGCAGGTTGGACTGTACATATTTTCTGCAAATAAATTCAGAAATGTCTTAATTTTTCATACTACCTTTACTGGTCTTCACAGCAAGAAATTATAAATTCATGAAATTATGGATTCACTAAATTACACTTTACTAACTTTAAATATGATTTTAAAATAGAAGCCAATTTGTACCTCGGTATTTAATGAAAAATTAGCAAACTTTAAAAAATAAATGCTAAATTAAATAGTAAAACTTAAAAAAATAAATTTATGTATGTGTGACCAGTTTAATAGCTGAGTAGAACCATTAACAAGACAGCTGCATAAGTTACAAGTATGTTTAACAAAAATAAAACTGAAGCTGCAGTATTTGAGGAGTGGCTTGGTATTTCAAACAATTAGACACCCAGGAAATATTAAGAAACAGCAAACTCCACATGCAATATAACCATCACATAGAAGCAAAGATTAAGAAACAACACCAAGACTCTCCCTCTATTCATATATTCAGCAATACAGGAAAAAAAGAATCATTTTTGGCAATACTTCTAGTAGTAAAAAATATTAGCATTAAGATTTAGTTCTTTGTTTCCTTCAAAAGGAACATGACCAAATACTTAAACACCCTGGACAGAACTATAAGCATAATTTATCTTTTCCTCACACTAGTGCTGTTACACTAGACTAACATGAAATGAATTCTTAAACGTCTGCAATGCAGTGTGTCAAGACACCCCCTTCTCTGAGGGCATTGCTACTATCTCCTTTTGAAAAACAGCTGTACAGAATCTCAGCACTACAGAGACTTTCAAAGGAAACAAAACCTGTTCTGTGGTTGAATCCATTAGGTCAGGGTTAATAAATTGTTACTGAACTACAACTTCCATTTTTCACAAAGACAGCTTATGGTCTCAGAAGGACCTCACTGGTTATTTTCCTGCTTGGGGATGGACACAGCACAATTCCTGCCCTGATCCATCCACATGCTGTGCTACTTTTGGTACCCCTGCCTGCTCTTCCCTTGACCCATTTGTTACCTTGTTCTACTGCATTCCCTCATCCTGCTTCTTGCTCTATTCTCCCTTCTTAAGAAACTTTCAGTTATGATTCCAACACAAAGTGAAAGAAGCTGCATAGTTTATCAGGGTGAATAACCATGCTATCAAATTCTGCAAACACGTGCTCTGACATTTCACAGAAGAATATCTAACAAATTTCCTCTTCAGCCCATAGAAAACGTGGGTGCAGGAAATACTACCTAAATTACCTTTATTTCAATATGATAATCAGCTCCAAACAGGTTCAATAAACAGATAAACTAAGGTAATAATAATGTCATGTAAATACCTCACTAATAATCTCTTCATACCATCATCACCCATCTCTACATAAACATAAAAATCTTCTCTGAGGGGCAGGAGGGACTCAAATCAAGGGAAAAAAAATCAGGGGAAAAAAAAGACTCAAACATTCATCTCCTCCATTCCACATGATGCATAGAGCTGCTTCTCAACAGTAATTTTATGCAAAAAAATGCAAGATAACTATCTTGGAATCATCTATAGTCTAACAGACTTGGAATAGTTTATTAACAGTCTAAGCTGTTATGCAGCTGAATAAGAGGTTAAAGAGTAACTAACATACAGGTTATCTAACCTAATACTGTAGTACCTGTGTCTTTGTTCTTGCTGCAGTAACTGAGCTGCTATTTTTCTGAGGTCAGTCACTTCTTTAATTTCATCATCTTCTTCAGCCAGCAGCTGTTCTTTCTGAAGCCTAGAAAAATTAAACATTACCTTGGCTTTAAAACTTACTGTCTTCTTTAGATTATGGAAATTAAAATAGGCTCTTCAGTCAAGCAAGACAGAAACAGGTAGGTCACTGAACAATAATTAGAAGACCTTCCTACAAGCTTGTTTTCTGTCCAAGCATGATACACTGCAAGTCTATAGATTTCTTTTTCCCTATGCAAGAAGAAAAGCATCCCCCATCCGCCTCCCAAAAGACCTAAATTTACCTTTTTTCATCTCCCCATTCCTCGTTCCGTTCTGTCTTCTGGGTTTTCTCAGGATGTTTCCCCCGCTCCTTACATATGGTGAAAAATAAATTTAGAATTCAATTAAAAAAGAACCGCCGAGTAGCTTTTCTTTTCTCAAGTTACAGTACCTTCATATAAGAGAGCAATGGTCCAACTGGCATTTCTCCTTGCTCAGGAACAGCTCCCTCTTCTGCGTTCGGATCAATATAATCATACACCTCCTGGTCTAGTGAGGATTGATGAAGAGTGGAAAAGATAACATTAAGCAGTTCTCTGAACCAAGTGTTATTCCTGAGAGAGAGAAGTACTTATGAAAAATGTCAAATAAAGATAATACAGTGAAATCCTGTTTCTTCTATCCAGAGGATGATTTTTTGCTTCTTTCTGGTCTTGTGTATTTATCATTTTATGAACTTGTTTACCAAGATGATAAAAATACAGTTCCAACTTGCCACAGTATCATTTTGTGCAGTTTTGTTAAATTACATTACCTAAGCAAGAGTGTTTCTGTTACCCAAGATGACAGATGTACAACAGATATTACCTTTCTGTGGATCAAGTTTACTTCCCACTACATGATTGTCATTCCTTAACGTCTGCTCCCTTGTTGATTCTGATACCTGGGAGTGAAGGCTGATTGTATCATCATCAGATGGCTGCAAAGACAGTCATACTTAATGCAAACTTAACATATTACTATCAAAGCCTTTTGTTCTATAGCACTTGGTTTTGATAATGGTAGTATTAACTACAACTGGCTAAACTTAGATCTCTACAAATATACATATATGTTGTGTGGGCTTCTGTGCACAGCTTTAAACCTAATAAGCCATTTAGAAATTCATATTTAAACAACAATAATAAACAAACTAATAAACAATTAAAAATAAACTAATACATACACTCAAGTTTAGTGAAAATAAATATCCATTTTCCTCTATTTTATTAATAGCAAAAGCAAATGGCACATGCTTTGTTCTTTGTGTAAAACTTAAATACACATTTCATATCTGAAAAAAATCTGAATAATTCCTTAGAGCAGAAATCAGTTATAAAATGTAGAAGAGTTTGGACTGGAATAACCTAAAGAAATTCAAGGTGATGAAGGTTTTATGTCTATACTGCTAAAGTTTCAACTCTACAACACAACTTCTTGAAGGATGTAACTGCAACTTAATTAAGCATTTCTCAAATGATGTAAAGTACAAAGGAACAAAACTGTTCTATAAAACAGAAGTTAGACAAATTTAACAGTGAAAAACACTCACTTCTGTTGTAGACAACCTTTTATCTCCATTATCACTTCCAATGCCAGAGTCTGGACCATGATTTTTATTGGGATAAAAGTCCTCCATGCTATTTTAAAAAATATGAATTAAAGAAATTGTATTAAAGAGGATGTATAAATTCTTTCAAGTTTGGTGCAGACTTATGGTGAGCATGTGTGGCCCAGAGCTTCTAGGAGCACTTAGAAGCAGGCTATGGACACTGTAAGCTTTATTCATAACTTATCTTTCTTTCAGCCCTGAATGGAAGAGTGACACAGGTTGAACGTGGTATTTTAAGCAAGTGGCAAAAATAGAGCATTATTCCACACGGTGTACACTGGCAAACCAGCTGAAGGCAGGAAATAGAAAATCACTCCCACTGAATCACCCCAGAGAGGTACTCGGTTAAAAAAAATCAAGCAAAATATGCTGCATTTTTGGACATCAGGAGTAATCCAGTCAACAGACCTCAGATATTTTACTGATGTTTAAATTAGATTCTGACTCTATATTCAGGGCAGTTAGGGAAACGTAGCATCAATGTTTTAACAAATTCCAGTGAGAAATAGCTGAGTTTTTCAACAAACTGAAACTGCACCTTTGTTGTAATTTGCAGATCTTCAGTGAGCATAAAGAAAAAAATTCATAGTAACCCCGACAGTCATTAAGCGCCTAATAACACAAACCTAGAGAGCATGACTTCTAAATAAACAGCCTTTAAATTACTGAAATTACAGCTATTAAGCTGTAATTAACTTATTGTGGTACTTCTCTCCTGTTCCCTAAGCGCCACTTCACAGCAAATACTAAAATGGATTAAAAATAAATAAATAAAAAGCCTACAAGACCTACCTGTCTGTGAGTGGCTGGGAGGGGATTCGTTTACCCAGTGATGGAAGATCCAAAGAATCTGGTTTTTTATCTATTCTGAGGCACGCCTGAATGCTGAGGAATTTAAATATATGTACTTTACCCTTTAAACATATCTGTTTGGAAGCAAAAGAAATATTTATTACATAGCATGTTTTTGATGACACGCACCAACCAATACCTTCTACACTGATAAGTTAAGGCCCACAAACTTTCACTAGGAAGAATGCAGCTAGAAAAATAATGAAACCCTAATTGGTAATAACTTAGAGCAGCCTCCCTTTCTTAGGATCCTAAAGCATGTAAGCAAAATACAATGTTTCTATACTAACCTGTGCTGGTGGTATCTGCATTGGATTGTTATCCAAAACTATTACTTGTAAATGACGTAGCTTCCTGTAACAAATCGGAATTTCTGTAATTTTATTACAAGAAAAATCCAGCTTTACCAAGGGAAGGTCTCCTAATTCTGCAATGGAAAATAATAATAATAAAAAAAATCAGGTAACTATTTAATACTTTACATAACTTACCTACATGAAAGAAAGGATAACAAGCAGCTTACCATCTGGCAACATATGGAGATTATTTCTTCTTATGTTTAATTCTCTAAGTGACTGTAGCTTTCCTATCTGCTGGGGAAGGACCTGAAGTTCATTGCAGCTAATATCCTAAGAAAATAAAATGAATAAGTGAACTGAAAAACTTCAATGAAACTAAATGTGCAGCTATTCCTGCACAATTTCAGCCATTTCTGTTTCAGGAACTCAGTTGAAAAAGTTAAAACAAGAAATGAATAAGAACAGGTTTTGAGATTTATACAGTTCCCAAAAATCAAGAGAGTCAACCAAAAGCTTCCAAGGTAATTGCAGACAAATGATTTGGATTCTGTTCCTTTCATAAAAATTCTCCTCTTTCCTTATAAAATTAGAACCAGTGCAACTAAAAATTTACAAAAGCAACAGCATGCTCACCAACTTTTGGGGTTTAATCACTAGAGGGTGACAAAGCTGCACTAAAGCAAACACAGTTTACAGCTACTTCTGCTACAGATTTATTTAATATTTGTGCAGGTAGCGTATACGGAATCAGCAATCATATGGATGTAAGGCCTATTTCATTACTAACTCAGCAAAACTGATTTTGGTGACAAGTTTCTTAAATGTAGGCAACAAAGCTTAGTTATCTACCCACCCGATGGAAAACACAGAAGCTAATTTGGAAGCCTAGCTGAGGAACAACCAGAAGCTGGGCTTTAATGAGAAAAATTAATCATCATCTTCCTCTCCACGCTCGCAGAGCTTCGGCACAGGCACTGCTCATGTGCTCTTGGCAGCAGAAATGTCTGCACAGAGCCAGATGTCTGAAACTACAGGTTGCTGGGAATGAGCTGTTGCAGGAGCTATTTTGAGTTCTTCCCTGTTCCCAGCACACAAATTAAAATAGGATTCCTTTCCTGAAAGCATCTCCTTGCACACTGCTTTGCTGTCAACGTTTTTAAAATATAAGTTATGTTCTAAATAGGTACAATACAGATATTGCAATTACACTCTTTAGTTTTAATCTAATCTAAAGGGCTTTAATCTTATCATCAAGCACATCCTCCAGGTTTAGCATTTACGAGTAAAGTCAGTAGTACCACAACTGCAACTCTAAAAGATGTTCACACTCTGTAAACAGCAGCAATGATCTCATCTTGGGATGCTAAAACGACGAGGTGAACATTGAAGAATTTCTCGTTTCTAACTCACCAAAAACAGTAGAAGACATCAGAAAAACCTCCCAAAGATTCAAAATATCTCCTATTAATGCCAAGTTACAACCTAAATACTCAGTAACCATCAAAAAACACATTAACAATATACAAAATAAAGGTTAAATAATTTGGGCGGGGGTGAATCTAATCCAACATACTGACAAACACAGAAAGTGAATTTACATTCTACAATCCCTTATGTAAAAGTTATCATGTTGTACGTTTTTCTTACGTTGTAATATGCTGCATACAGTTTAAGTGTACTTAATGGAGTGCAATTATACTTACCAATTCCATTAAGTCTCTCAACTTTCCAATTTCTTCTGGAATGGAGACCAGCTTATTATTACTGACTACCAAAACTTTAAGTGGAAGATCAAACAGGTATTTTGGCAATGTTGATAAAAGATTTCGACTTGAAAGAAAACAAACAAACAAGAAAGGCTACATTATTACATTCTTTTTAAGCTCAACACAAGTCTGAGGTGCACATTGCAGAACATTCCTCCTGCTCTAGAAGGTATCCTCCACCTATTA